AAAAGCAGCATTGATGACATTGTCCAGCTATGTGTAACAAAGTAATCTAACCTTCTACTGAGATTTCTGAATGAAGCTTTGAACATCTGGTGTCATATTTTATAATGTCATCATAAAAAATAAAAATTCCTTGAAATAAATCCTCAATTTTATTAAATCAGCTTGCTTTACTGACTACAACCCGGTCAGTTATGCTGCTGTTGGGTTGCTGCTAGATCGCCCCATTAATACAGGTCTGTGCCTCCCTTTTTGTGCAGCAAGCGGGAGAGCAAACAGTTTTTTAACCACAGTGAAAATATAGTTTATGAAAGGCCAAACGCCCACAAATATGTATGGATGCAAAATATTTCATTGGATAAAACCATGTTGTGAATATTCCAAATGATTACCTCTATCTTTAAATAAGTCTTGACTTTTGGACTTTATGATGCTCTGGAGTTGTGGGAAATGTTTGGTTCACATGGAATCAATCCTACATAGCCTCTAGGTCAGGGAACAGGACCAATATTCTTTTGCTAAATTTATAGTTCCCTGCTCAGTGACTCTAGTTTATCCTGCGTTCCAGGCAACTCGGAACTCGGAAATTTCTGACCTCCAACTAGAAAAACTATTGTGGAACGCTACCTGAACAATGGCAGCTCCCATGGAAGCACACATTGTAAATGGTAAACAACAACCTAAAAGGCAACATAAAGCACATTTGCATGTATTTAATTAAAAGTATAAATACTGTCATATAGTAAAACCTGTTCTGCATATAAATTTAACTGGTTGCACTAAAGAATCTCTAATTCATCCTCTCGGCACAAAAGTTATTCAGTAAAATGTAAAAAATAATAATTAATTACCATAGAGGGCAGTGAGGGGGCAAGTGTGTGGACACTTCAGCCTTGTATTTCATTCACTTTGGCATCAGGCAACACCTTGCACCTGAAACGCTTTGAGGTTGAAAGTCGGATATTTCAACTCAGACATTTCACAGTTCTGAGCAGTCTGGAATGCGGTAAAAGATACCCAATTTATTTCTATTTTATTCAGTTCCTTTCCTTTCTTTTCTCATCACTGATTGGCTCTTCCTCAGTGACCTGATTGAGTTCACCTGTCCACACTTTGAATAAGAATTGCCCTCCCTTTCACTCATTCTTTCACTTTCACATGAGGCGGCAGTTCCAGTAAGAGAATTTTAATTTCACTCTTTAGTTTTATCCTGTGTCCATGGTTATGAAAACATAGTTTAGGTGTGTATTGTTCCTTATTTCCTTGAGATGGATATGTGAGTTTAGTTTCTAATCTTATGTTTTTTTTATTTGAGATTGAACAACCTATGTGTGTTTTTTCCCTGATTATGTCGACAGATGCAACCTCAAAGTTCGAAGAAAGAAAAATGGTGTTCACAGGATTTTCCAAGTTTCCTGGCTTACTTCTATGAATTCTGGCCTATGCTCCAATTATAATAGAAAATGTACCTTTTGAACCTCCTACTTTACAGCAACAGACTCACGTTCAGTGTCAGTGAGCTAAAACAGTATCGCAAAGAAGCAAGCAATGGCAGAGAGGCAGTGGGGAAAACAGCTGTATAATCAGAATAGTTTTAAAACTAACTCTGTGAATTAAGGGTTTATTTGACCAAACCAGAGTTGGACAGTAGACAGACTAACAAAAACAATTTTGGCGAGTTTTATTTTGTTTCTGAGTATGACTGAAGTATGTTTTACTATCAGTTAACAAGGCAATTATAGATAGTTTGTCATTTGATGTCCCATGTGACATATGGATTATGGTGTCTAACATTGTCTGTAACTGTGAACATATCTTTACACTATAGGCCTACGTTAAATTTGATACTGTACCCATCAAGGTGGCTGCATGAGAAGTAAATACTATACTGTTTGAGGTGAAACCATGCTGTGTATAAAGATTGACCACTTGCCAGCTCCCCAAAAGTGAAGCCAAAACATCTAAATGGTCCCCTGGTGGTTGGATGCAGTACAGGTCATTATGATAGGCTACTAGGGATCCTGAGGGGTTAAATCACCTGACTGCACAATGATCTGTGAAGGCAACAAACCACCCTCCATCCTAATGCTCACAAAAAATATAGTGTCAACAGATCTACATGTACCTTAATCTCTTTATTAATGTTATCTGACCTGCTTACGTGCTCTTATGTAAAACGTGCGCTGAACCAACAAGTTTATGCAGCAAAGTTGAAATTCACTCTGCTTGAAAGCCATAAAATCAGTCACTGCTTCTCTGCTTTGAGAACTCATGTGAACACAGAATATGTACAGCAAGGAAATCCTCATCAAAGCATTTCTAACTCATAATTATGTTGACTGGACAATTCTGTTTAGCTATCACACAATCACTTCTGGTAGTTCTAACAATTAAAAGAAACTACTACACAGATTAATGCCAATATATAGGTTAACAGCAACAGACTCTCGTTCAGCGAGCTAACAGAGTATCATAAGTAGTACCAGCAACTAAAGAGCCAGAATAGTTTCACATCTAACTCAGTGTATTAAGGGTTAATTTGACCAACAGTGGAAAGAGAAACCAAGACGTTTTTGGTGAGTTTTATTTTGTTTCTGTCAAGTATAATGAAGTGTGTGTTACTATCAGTTAGCAATGCAATGAAGATAGACATTTGAAGCAGACTCGTGTTTTTGTGGATTTAGTAATGCTTCATTCAATGTCTAACATTGTCTGTAACCTTTACACTAGCTCTATGCTCACTTTGAAACTGTACCCATCACGGCAGCTGCATGATAAGTAAATAAAACCAGAATAAAACTGAGTCTCTTCTCTGTATATTACTCAACACTGTACTGTATATAAAGATGGACAACTTGGCAGCAAGTCCAGCTGAAAGATCTTGATCGCCCCCTGGTGGCCAGTTTGCTGAAGCACTCCTCTGACAGCAAGCTGGTCTTCACTGATTCACTCACAGAGACAGATAAACACAAACATATAGATGGATAGATTTTTTTAATCTAGGAGCATGGTCAGTCAAGAGGTTTTATGTTACACAAGTCAAAGCTCATGCTCCTTCCTAAATGTTCTCTACTTAGGAAAGTACTGATAGGTTAAAGCATATAGGTACTGCTTGATGCTTCTTGTGAAATTCTAAATACATGCCACAATCGTTAATCTTAATGTATGCTTAGTTTTTTTTTAACTTTTGTTTTGATTTGTTTAGTTGTTTAGAGAAGGTTTTACAAGTATGTTGGCACATTTTGTCAGCAAATCCTGCTTCTGTTTCAGGTAAACATATCTTCCCATCTGGAAAGTACCCAAGTATCCTACTGTTGGGACCACTGGGACTTTGTTCAAAAAGTCAGCATTAGAGCCTTGAGCGCCTTTCTGCACCACCATGTAGTGTTAATTACCAATTAAGGCCTTGGCCAATCAGCAAAGAAAGTGTTGCTCATGTCAGTTGCCTCCTTGCCAGGATATTTGATCTCCTTTTCGATAATTAAATCCTGGATTCCTTGTTTAAGAGACTTTTTGTGTACTGACAGATTCTGTGTGTCTGTAAGTCCTGATAATAACTTGAGTTGAGTGGTTTGCAGATATTACTGTTCTTATTTAATGCCTGTTAAATCCAGGCTTTGTTAAGTTGTGAACAGTCCATTTATTTATTTTATTCAATGTATGTGTGGTTCACTTCATACAGTCAAAAGGCTTTAGTGCAGTAATGCACTTTGTTTGCTCATTGTTATTGTTTTGATATTATATTTCAGTTAAATTTATATTTTCTTTTTAGTGTAGTTAAATAGTAGCTTTATGTAGGTGGAATGGTGGGAAATTGCACAATTGGTAAAATAATTCATTCTTGGTATTTCTACTTTTTATTATATTGCAGAAACCACACGTCAGTTCACAGATATAAATCTGAACTAAGTCGAACACAGAGTGGCTTGTGTTGTTAACAAAGCGCCATTTCTTCAGTTCTTATCAGACTATCTGTGGTGACTGCATATGCATTCAAGTAACTGCACAAAGGGATTTTTTATTAACAAGAGGTCTTAAACTTGGGCTCACACAACCAACACATTCTCAATCACAGACTTCACAGATTACTTTGTTAATTTGTGTGTCCTAAACCACTGAGACGTTCTACTTTTAGCTACTATTGGTCCGTGAGACCTGACCCATGATGTCATGTCAACTTGTCAACAAAACAGCAGTTCAGCTTCTGCCCTCTCTCTTTTACCTGGACCAAGCTGCAACCTCCAGCTCTCATGGATAAAGCCATCCTGGAGTGCCTTAAACCTGCATTCTGACTAACGGCCAGCAGGGGGTGACTCTTGTGTTTGAAACAAGAGGTCTGGTTCCATTAGAAATAATGGCATAATTACCATAGACTGTATGGTGCCTGGTTGCAAAAAATCAACAGGCCGCAGACATGTTGATTTGAGGTTTCAAAATGGCAGTCTACAAACCAATGGATTATGTCACCATGATTACTTTTATATTTACAATCAATAAAGAAGTTCAATCAATGTCGGCCACCGCCCTCCTGACAGTCCCCAAACATGTTTCTGAATGGACTGTGATGTCAGAGCAGGCTTTGGCAGGTGGAGCAGAACTCAGAGCTGAAAACCTCTGACAGAGAAATGTCAGGGCAACGCATAGACAAACAGCCACTCACATTCACACCCAAGGACAATTGTAGAGACACCAATTAACCTCGCCTGCATGTCCTTGGATGGTGGGAGGAATCCGGAGCACCCGGAGAGAACCAACACAGACACTGGGAGAACAAACAAACTCCACACAGAAAGGCCGGGGCAACCAGGGTACGGCCTTCTTGCTGTGAGGCCACAGTGCTAACCACTGTGCCACCGCGCTGCCCCTGTCCAGTAGTTAAATTTTCCAAATGAAAAACATCCGCATATTCACAGCTTCTGAACTTTTTATCACGGGAGAAGGAGTAGATTTTTTACAACTGAACTGTATTAGGAGGGAAAACATCAGAAATTCACACATCTCACAAGTTGGAAGAATGTTTTTATATGTCTTAAAACATTTTTGGAGGGGATCTTTAAGCAATACATACAACACAGAGATCCTCATAGCACTAGAAGTATTAAGTAGTACTAGTATAAGTAAATACAAAGCAGAATAATGAGGTCAAACTACATTTCACTGGAATCTGATGACAAGTCTTTCCTATCATCTGTTTTTTTTTTTATTCGCTTCAAGGAAAGCAAATCAAATTGTGAAAAATCAAATAAAAAAATAAAAAATCAAACGTGAAAAAGTTCCAAAATGTTGCATTGCAGATCCATTCTTCTTCAGTTCATCTTGTCTTTTCTGAGCTCACGTCTCAACACTTTCATAGAAAACTGTGGTGACAGTCCGTATTGGTTGAAGAGCTAGATTTAAAAAAAGCCACACACACCCACAACAGAAAAAAACAACGTTAATACTGAATAAAATAATTAGTTGATCATTTGAATTAAAACTGAATACAAAGTAGTCATGACAATGAAAAACAAACTAACAGCAGTTAGTGCACTCTGCAGTTCCAAGTCCGACAGCTGAGAAAATGACTCCAATTCCACGTTCATGGCAAGAACATAATCTGTTGACATACACATATAATAATAAATAATTAAACATATAATAATTATAATTAATATAATATAAAGTATTCAACATCATTTGTAGTATAATAACCATAAATACAAACTTTGCATAACCTTTGTAGTGAACAACGGTGTGGATTTGTGCATTTTACGTTGAATAAATTTGGAGCTACCCTAAATTCCTTTCTCCTCCCCAGAGAAGATGGGGAGGGGTCAAAGTTGCTTTCTCTAAGTGCTAGCCCGACCATAAAACTGGCACCGTTTTGATTCCGAAGCTGATAACGCGGGGCCTGACTGTTAAACTGACAAAGGGACACGAACCAGCCATTGGCATCTCCCTGAACAGCCTATCAAAACTGCCCCCCCCCCCCCCCACATGTTTCCGTGGCAACTGACCTTATTCTTTGTTTTATTACCACATCAAAAAGGAAAACCCCTGTCTCACCCAAGTGTGACATGGTCCAGACACTGAACTTTGAATGTAAAAAGGACTGCAGTCTCCAAAGATTCAAAGCATTTAATTAAATCTTTAGTTACCTGATTACGTTTGCCTCTATTTGAGCAGTTATGTTAAATGTTGTTGCTATCTGTTGTTGATATTAGTGCTGAAAAGAAAGTTACTTGTGCAGTGTTTTTATTTTCAGCAAGAAACTCCTTCATCTAATGTAATCCAAGCTTTCCTCATGTAACCTGAGCTCCCCCAAGTGGACAAAATAAGTATTACATGCCTTCGTCGGAAATGCCGTTAAATGTATAAATATCCTGACCAATAATGTGACAATTGTTTCCTCTTACCAAATGCCTAGAACAGTACAACGTTCGACGATTGAGGTTCGATTGTGGAAAATATTTGATTATAATACGTGCAAATAGATTTCTTTAAACATTAAGTTTAGAAAGGCAGTCCCTTGGGAAATCTGAGACGCCCCCTGGGGAACCACGCCCCAGGCAACAAAAGAGCGACACGCGACCTCGCTTGGCTCTCTTCTCTTCGCTGTTGGCTCTTCCACTCTGCTTGCTGGACGCTGCGGCACGCGTTCGCCAAGCCTCGCCAGGCAACGCCCAGACTCGGCCAGCGAAACAAACAGCCTTTTGTTCGCCTGAAGCTACACACGTGAAGTGCCGCGACATCGATCTGCCTTCAGTTTGTTTTATTTTCTTTATTTCTTTTGTTTGTTAAAGTTATCAGTCCGTTAAGTTACACTGGACTAATTCAGGAACGACCAAGTTCCATTTTAAGCCTTTTTCGTCGAAGCCAACTTCACCGAGGTCAGACCAAGCCACGTGGTCTCGCCAGCGGCAACGAAGGAAACCTCAAAAAACAGCCGAATTGCCAGACGGAGGAGGCGTTTTCAATCAGACACAGAGAACCCCGGAGAATCCCTAGCAAAAAGCCAGGATCGGCAGCTAGCGTGGGACCCGTGCAACAGGCCAAAAGCAGGCTGTCGACAAGCAGTAAGACTTAACACACGTTCTGTGATCAGATGTCCATTTCAAGTCCTAAACTATAGCATTAGTTTACTTTCATTAGCTCTTCTATGCCGTATGAGTCAAATGCTTCCCACAATCGAACCTCCAGGCTCATTGTTCAGCAAATGTTTATGTTCCCTGTATCCAACCATCTTTTTATCACCTTAGTTAGAGAATAAATTCACTGTAATATAACCAAGAGCTGTGTGTGTTGCCTATTTCTAGTCCCTGCCAAGAGAATTGACCCTTTAGATATGAGACTGACTGACTGATTTAAGATAATTGAGCGATTATTAACTAACTGATCACTAGTAATAATTGTATAATTATTAAAACTACCTAGAGGTCCGGAGACTCTAGGTTTATAACAACTCCGATGGTGCCCTTAACGAGGAAAATTTTGATTTTATGAATATTAATTCATAATTGGGTATCGATTCTCAATTTAGGTTTGCTACACCTTATAACTTTAGTTATCATATGATATACAAATTGACAAAACACAAAAAAGTCTCACGTGTATTTTCTGCACACAATACTACTGTGAAAACTTGTAAAATCATATTTAAATTGTATGTATTTATAGAACTGTAAAGTAGGGTTTTTCAATAATTTATTCTCTGGTTTTATATAAATATAGGGAAGAACAGACTCGTTTCTGTTTTAGCAACAGTTAAAGCAGATCCAGACACAGTAAATAATGAAAAACAAATAGAAGAAACATAAGATAAAAATAATTGCGATAATGATTACAATCAATTACATTCAAGCTAATACATTTATGAAATGGTCACTCAAGGCAAAGGCTCAGATATGTAATGAATGTAACAAATGCAAATACTTACTAGGGCCTTTGGTTGTAGGACAAAGAGTCAGAGGTGTTTTGGAAAGATGGTGTTTGTTTACAGGGAAAGAGAATATTTTAAAATTAATTGATGATTTGTTAAAATCTCTTGAAAATCAAACTTCATGCTACATCATAACTTAATAAAATAAAACATTTTTTATTTTATTTATACAAATAATATAATAATTAAAAATAATGACAAGGTAACTTTATGTAATTAAAGAAGAAAAGACAACATCAAGTTAACTCAACATGAACAAGGAATAAGAAAAACCTTTAGATGGAAAAAGCAAAAAACTGTTACTGCTGGTAAGTACTACTAAATGTCCAGTAACTTTCAAAGCTGCAAAAAGAAAATGTTATGCCTGGTTAAATACACATTGCTGAAGTCTTACCAGTAACTGCAGTAATGCTCACTCCACTGCTTCTGATGTTCTCAAACACAGAGAAGAGAGTGAATGTGTATCTAGTTCTAGCAGTGAGAGATGAGACTGTGTAAGTTACTGGTCCATCTCCATCTGGTGCAGTGATGTAGATCTCTGCATCATTAAACTGGAGAATAAAGCTGATGTTGTTGTTCACTTTGTTCCACTGCAGAGTGATACTGGACTCATTTTGTCCTATTGGTCTGAATTGTTTTGTGTTTGGAGGAGCTGAGAGAGACAAATAGAGCAGTTAAACAGTGTCAGTAAAATTGACAAAGTTAAAGTTAAATATGTATCCCTACATAAATACAAACTAAACCTGTCTGTCAAGAACAGAGCAAGTGAAAATATTCTTTGTATTATAAAGAATGTTTTTTTTTCTGGATCCAGATGTCACATTCTGTAGTCATATCCATCACACTTTATATGACAACAGAGATGTACTCCACAATAAATGAAGAATCACAATGTACCAAAAGTTAAAAAAGTAAATATTCTTAAAGTAAAAAATATTTTACCGGTAACTGCAGTAATGTTTACTCCACTGCTTCTGAAGTTCTCAAACACAGAGAAGAGAGTGAATGTGTATTCAGTTGCAGCAGTGAGAAATGGGACTCTGTGAGTTACTGGTCCATAATAATTATTTGGTGCAGGGATGCTGATCTCTGCACCATTAAACTGGAGAATGAAGCTGATGCTGTTGTTCACTTTATTCCACTGCAGAGTGATACTGGTCTCATCTTGTCTTATTGGTCTGAAGTCTTCTGCGTTTGGAGGAGCTGAGAGAGAAGAAGAGAAGGGAATGAAATTATCAACAAACAACTTTAGTTGAATATTTATTCATGCTCCATCTGGCTGTTCAGGTTGATCAACTTTGTATTTTTTGTTAACAAAACCTAATGGTGGCTATGAGAGAAACAATTATTTAAGACACATGTTTTTAGCAGAAAGAATGTGACATTTTATGCCTAACCACGTCACAGCGTTCATTTCACAGAACATATATAATGAAAAATAAAAAACTCATAGGACTTAAATTTTGACAACTATGTTGAAATAAAGGAGTTTACAGTTTTTCTCAATGGATTTGGCGCATTTACTTACTGATTTATACTATTAGTCAAGATAACTTAGAGTTTCTGCATTTTTTTACTAAAAAATAAGATAAATGAGATTGATTGATCCTGAATTCCAAGAAGAAGTGTAGAACTAGTGGTAATGAGTTAGAATGGAGTTGGCTAAGAAGGTGTAACACAGAATTGGGTGATAAGTTAAACTGGATGCTTTAAAACCAGGCAAACCGGACCGGGTCAACTTTGACCCGGGAGGACAACAAGTGGGATTATTTGCAGCCATTAAAAATAATGAAATGGTTTAAAAACACTATCCAGACCAAACTTAGACATATACGAGTCTGTGATAATCCATCAACATATAGTCCTCTGATCTTAACTATTATTCAAAAGAATTCATAATTTCTGCTTTTTTTAGCTTATAAATTTCGTATAGTTTCATAAAAATGAGACATATTGACCATAAATTCCATCAAGAAGTGTAAAAATAGTGGTAATGAGTTAGAATGGAATTGGCTAAGAAGGTGTAACACAGAATTGGGTGATAAGTAAAAATACAAAGACATCTTGTCAAATGATAGTGTACTCTGAAAGTGTGATAGGTACCCACTATGTAATATTGTCCAATCAATAACTTTGTATATTTAGGCAGCTGCATAGTATTGATGTCAGCCATTGCACACACTATACTTTCAACCAAACTTTTATTTGACGACACTGTGGACCGGCCCAGATTAGGCTGCACTCTCCGATCAACCTCTGTCATACTCAGGCCAAGGTTGATTACATGGTCTGTAACTGTTGTCTGTATCTCTCAAGATATTTGGCTCTTCCTCATCCTCTTTGCACACTCTGCCTCTTCCTCTCCCCCTCACCATGCCACCCCACACTTATGCCCGTCCTTGGATGGACCCTGCATGCTCCATATTCCATAGCTGAGTCTTACCCTTGCAGTATAAATGTGTTTGAGAACTGATTGTTATGAGTGTCGCCTGTGAGCTAAATTAATCTTATTCTAACATTTCTAAGCAGGATGTGGTGCTGCACGAATATATATGCTCCTCAATACAGCTAGCCTAGTAAAACATTTGAAAATCAATATGTGACGGTCAGTGTTAAAATAATTTGGACAATTCTAATTGTCCAAATTATAGGCTAATTATGGGAAACACTGCATTATTAAGCAAGTAAATCCCGACTTTTACACAGCTGTCTGTTTTTCTGCACATGTAGCCTGTTTATAAGAGCAGTATTCAGTTGTTACAAAACTCCACTCTCTCCCGACGAGTCCAAGCATCATAAGTTTCACGTTGCTGTGCTGCTTCGGCAGAAGCAATAAATCAGATGTAGAAATGTTCGTGGTTGCAAGCTTTTTGCTGATTTACACTAGAGGACAATGTTCTTTGCATCCAACTGTGACATAATAATGGCAGCAGCTACTTATAGCTGTGGACAGAACACCTTTCTCCCTTGTTCTACTTTCTTCCTTTAGTTTTGGCGGACATGAACAACAAATTCCGGTGCCGCTGAGCTGCCGCACTGTCGTGGATTTACTTCAAGTATGGTGTGTTCAGTAACGAGTAATGCAGCGTTACTTGCATTAGTAACTAGTAATAATATTAGTTTTACAAAAGTAATTAGTTACACAACTTAGTTACTGGGAAAAGTAATATTATTACAGTAACGCATTATTAGTAACGCGTTACAGCCCAACACTGCTGATGAGACTCATTTAAGTAATCTATGAATGGTTTTAGTTTGTTCTAATGAAAATGTTTATGGTAGGCATTAGTTTTTATAAATGGCAAACAACATGCTTACAACATGATCACTAGCTTTCCACAGGCTCATCTGCTGTATATAACTTTCTGAACAACATTTAGCAGAAGAACATTAAAAACAAAAAACATTCTTGTTTCTGCTTTAACAGACTTGCCCAGATACAAAAATTGAAATTCAGTGTGAATCTGATCTTAAAGGTACAAATTGCTAACACATAATTTAAACTGCCTTAATGCAACAATGAATCTTTATACAGTACGTGAGTAGAAATAAGATGCATTACTTGTTGAGTAACAGATGAACGGTAAAGTGAGGGAGCAGTTATCATCTGACCACCATCCTGAGTAACTGAACATTGTGGTGACACACTGCTCTGGACTGTCTGGTTGCCCACTGGCCCAGTTTTCAAACAGAGAGGGGCTCCCATCAGACCACAGTTGTTCCCGGTGCAGACCGATCCACACAGAGTCCCCAGCAGCCAGGTTTGTTATGACGTCATTTTCTGCCTGATTTCGTATACTGCAAGAGAAACAGTAGCATATACACATCAAGGGTGAGTTGAGTAGAACTGAAAAGGTAAACATAAAAGACAAAAGAAAATTAGACACAAATTATAATAATAAATAAAGATAATCAGGAAGGGAAGGATTCAAATAACAAAAAGGATCAAATAAAACAGTTGGACAGATTTTCTAATCCATTTAGGATTCAATCAACCATCACAATACTAAATAAGCTGAATCAACAGAACAGATAGTAGTTGTTAAGTAGTTGGTTCAGTACTGAACTATTGTATGTCTTGGAGTCTTCATCAGCGCACACTGTACCTGGCTAGATCGACGTAATTCTCCCTGCAGTATCTCTGAGCTTCAGTCCAATTCAAAGGTGTGTCGACTTTTACAAAGGATGATGTGCCATTTACTGAACCTGGAAATATATTGAGAGAATTTATTAACAATGTGCTATGCAGAAGATCTATTTAGGTTTTTGTTCTTACGCTATAAGAAAACTCACCGTCGTAGCACACAAAGTTCAAGTGGTTGTTGCAATTAATGTCCACCCATATTCCACTGTAGCCATAGTAATAGAAATAGTTATAATTTATGAGCAGCACACAGTTCTGTCCAATAGCAAGGTAGGGACGTCCAGGAGCCCAGTTTCTAAACCCTGTGTCTCCTTCACCATAGAAGCTGCTGTCATTCAGGGACCATCTCCAGTTGTCATCATAGAGGCCTATCCAAGCCTTGCCTGTTCAAATAGATGTTCATTATTAACAGCTGGAATTAAAATAGTTGCTGAATTGAACTAAAATGTAGATGAATAAACTGAACATCCCTAAAATTATGTGTCTCCTCTATTTTTTTATTGAGGGCCTTTGTTGTTTTTTCACATTCCACATGATCATATCACCCTGCTGCCTTCTGGCTAATAAATATACCTACCATATTTTAAAATTTCCTCTAATCATAGTAACTTTAGTAACTCAGTATATATAGACTATGTTTCTGTTCTGTGTATGTTTCCAATATTGAGAACTTGCCTCTGTAGCTCGATGTGGTGCTGAGTACAGCATAGACGTCACTTGTGGTTGCTATGGTGGCCAGGTCAGTGTAGACCTGTCTGCAGAAGCTCTGAGCTTCAGTCCAGTTCAGTGGCGTAGCCTCAAAGTAAAACTGACGAGTTCCTAAAACAAAGCATATTCAGTTTTTTATTACTTACTTTTTATAAAGCATGAAGACTCTTTTACAGTGAACATGAAGAGGCACTATGAATCAGGTGGGTTCAGCTGTACTGTGGGGTCAGTTTGTTGCAGAAATACATTGGTATATGTAGCACTGAGTCAGAGATGTTTCAGAAAGATGGCTATTGTTTACATGGAAGGAAGAATATTTTAAGATGAATTGATAATTTGTTAATATTTCTGGAAAATCAGAGAGACAAACGTCAATTTCATTATATATCATAACTGAACATACAATTAAATATACATTTTTAATATGCAGTATGAAAAGTTCAAGACAATTTCACTTTGGCAGCTGGCGACATGTGCGTGAGCCAAACTATTGCTGCTACTGTAGACAGCAGTCGTGCTTTTCCTACTCTCCCCTCTTATCTTGGCTTGCTCCTATTTTTTGTCTACTTTCTGTCTACTTTGGTCGTGTGGAAACTTTTCTCTTTTGACCACCTGCCTGCTGTTCTCCTGAAACCATCAAAATGGAATTAATCAACTGGTCACTCAGCGCTATTGACAAGATTTTCACCCAGAGACGTGCTTCACCGGGTGAGCCGAACTGTCCCAGTGGAACATTCGCTGCAGGCTACGCTCGCGACTTGTGGGAGACCTGGCAAGCGGTTTGCTTGGATGTTTTATCTGTGGAGGACATTGAAGATTTATGGATAATTGGAATTTTGTCAGTGGGCTTCCTGATTATCGGGCTTGGAATCTCCCTAATATATCGTAAAATTGGTAACAGCCAGGCAGCCGCCAGGAAATTTACCCAAAAGCTGTCTGGGGAACTTAAAGAGTGCTTAAATGGGGTGAACGAAAAGCTGAAGGTTTTACATCAAAGGGCTGATCAGAACGGTGAACTGTTTCGTAACATCTCACACCGGTCTGTGGAAGAGCAGAGGAGGATTGACACCATCAGGGCGCAGTCTGGTGAGCTGCTGAGAGTAACCACTGGTCTGTCAATGAAATTAGAATAAATGTCGAAATCACTACATGAACTGGATGCACGTATGACGCTGAGGATGAGAGCGATTGAAGGACACTGATCCGGATAAATGTTACCGAATCAACCTAAATTGGATTAAAAATTATTGTCTTAGTGCCCCTCCTCCGTCTCAGCGGGAAAACAACTTGCAGCTGGCCTTCCTATCCTCTCCTGCGCATTGGTTTATCTCTCCTCAAAGACTGAGTAAGATAATGAACAGACTCATTATCTTACTCACACCATACACCCCCCCCCCCCCACACACACACACCGAAGTGACTGCCTCGAAACTTCCCTCTTTATTTCTCTTCCTCACGTCACCTCAAAAAATCCCACCATGTGACTGTATGTAATGTGTGTTGTCTTGTGTATTATTATGTATTGTATGTTGTTATGTCATGTACTATGTTGCTGTCTGCATTAATTCTTTTCTGGAAAGCAAGTGGCGACGCTGAATCTAGCTGCGGCCCGGAGGCTTGCTCCAATAGAAATAAATTTCACTGTGTACTTGTGCATGTGTGACAATAAAGCTACCTATGAACCTGTGCTCGACTACTTCACCTCACTCTAACAGGGACACTTGCTACTGAACACAGACTGTTGATGCTCCCTGATAAAAGAAAAATGTTTCTGCTGATACGTGTTCAGAAAAAATGTTAACCTGTTGCTCAGAAGGAGCCTGTTATGACGTTATGATTGTGGCCCTGAATTCTGATGGTAACTTGTTTTAACAAGCTAGATAAAAGGTAATGCCCTGGCAGGGGCAAATAGCTTTGGTTTTATATTTGATTTGATTACATTAATGTTTAAGTTGAGATTTAAAAGAAATATTTTATTGCTACTGTGTAAAGGGAATACTGCTGGTAAAAAGCACCTTGTTTGTTGAAAGTGTTTGCAAACCACATGTCATTGCACTTTTGTGTATATAGTAGTAAATTTAAATTAAAATACACTACTTTAGAATTTATTATTCAATTTTGCGCATAAAATGCAATTAATCGCATAAAATCATGCAATTAATCGCAATTAAAATTCTTAATTGTTGCCCAGAACTAATTTTTAATTTATACAAAAAAATAAATAAGTAAAAATAATGACAAGGAATGACAAGGTAACGTTATGTTAACATTGTGCTCAGAACAACATGAAAAAGAAGAAGAAAAGACAACATCAAGTTAATTAATTACTTGAAGGAGGAATAAGAAAAATGTTCAAATGTGACAACGAAAAGCTGCTGATAAGTACTATTAACTGTCCAGTTGCTTCCCAAGTTATAAGATGAAAATTTTAACCTGGTTAAATATACATCAGTAAAGTCAAACAACTTACTAGTGACCACAGTAATGCTCACTCCACTGCTTCTGGCGTTCTCAATCACAGAGAAGAGAGTGAATGTGTATGTAGTTCCAGCAGTGAGAGATGAGACTGTGTGAGTTACTGGTCCATCTCCATCTGGTGCAGTGATGTCGATCTCTGCACCATTAAACTGGAGAATATAGCTGACGTTGTTCACTTTATTCCACTGCAGAGTGATACTAATGACATCTTGTGCTGTTGATATTAAGCTTTCTGCATTTGGAGGAGCTGAGAGAGAAGAAGAGAAGTGAATGAATTGCATGATTTTAATATTCATTCATGTTCCATGTTCCAAAAAGACAAACAGAGCAGTGAAATGTCGTGGAAAGAATTGAGTAACAACCAACCGTTGTCTTTGAAGAATTTATTTAACAAAAGAGAATAAACAGAGAAGTACTACAACACATATACAGACCACAGTCTAGGTTTCTATGTTTTAGGGAACAGAGATCCTCTCTCTGCCTTGAATGAACATTCAAGGAGAGGAGAGGAACAACAAGAGAGGAAAACACCAAAACAATCTCACAGCTCTGACGTAAACCCTAGTAAATGTGGACAGACCAACATAAGGAGTATAGGAGAGGAAAGGTTAAGGATAAAACACAATACAACACATGCAATTTTCTGCTATAACATGAAACATGTATTAACAAAGTGACAATGTTCCCTCTGACAGTTAAAGATGGTTCATTGTATCTCCACATAAATACAAACTAAATTATTCTTAAAGTAAAAATATTTTACAGTGTTGGCCAAAACATTGCTGAATTAAATTAACATGCAATAAAGTGCATGTTGTTAAGTAGCACATTCCTGTAATGAATATTATACCCAGTAGATACGTCTTAGTTTTACACTGGTGCTCTGAAAAGCAGATGATGGCTCGCTAAGCAGATACAGAGCATAGAAATAAAGTGACATATATTACCGGTAACTGCAGTAATGTTTACTCCGCTGCTTCTGACGTTCTCAAACACAGAGAAGAGAGTGAATGTGTATTCAGTTCCAGCAGTGAGAGATGAGACTGTGTGAGTTACTGGTCCATTTCCATCTGGTGCAGTGATGTTGATCTCTGCATCATTAAACTGGAGAATAAAGCTGAAGCTGTTGTTCACTTTGTTCCACTGCAGAGTGATACTGGTCTCATCTTGTCCTATTGGTCTGAAGTCTTCTGTTTTTGGAGGAGCTGAGACAGAAGAAGAGAAGGGAATGAATTGCTTGAATATATATTCATGTTCCATCTGGCTGTTAAGGTTAATCCATTTTGTATGTTTTGTTAACAAAATACTGGTGACTATGAGAGATAAAATTATTTAAGACACACGCTTGAATTAGCAATAATGTCACATTTTATACCTAAACACATTACGGTGTGTGTATCGCAGGACATCCATAATGAACAATAAAAGAAGAATTAAAAATTCATAGCACTTCAAGTTGGACAACTATGGGGAAATAAAGGAGCTTAATATGTTGGCCAAGACAGGCAGTGCTGGAAAATGATGGTGGCCACACAAAATGTTCACACTTTTGGCCCATCTTGGACATTTTCACTTAGGAGTGTACTCACTTTTGTTGCCAGCGGCTTAGACATTGGCTGTGTGATGTCTTATTTTGAGGGGACAGCAAATTTACACTGTTATACAAGCTGTACACTCACTACTTTACATTGTAGCAAAGTGTCATTTCTTCACTGTTGTCCCATGAAAAGATATAATCAAATATGTAAAAACATGTGAGGGGTATACTTATTTTTGTGAGATACTGTATATAACTAAACTGCCTTAATGCAACAATGAATCTCTAAACAGCTTGTAAGTAAAAATAAGACACATTACTTGTTGAGTAACAGATGAACGGTAAAGTGAGGGAGCAGTTATCATCTGACCACCGTCCTGAGTTTCTGAACGCTGTGGTGACGCACTGCTCTGCACTGTCTGGTTGCCCACTGGCCCAGTATTGAAACACAGAGGGGCTCCCATCAGACCATAGTCGTTCCCGGTGCAGACCGATCCACACAGAGTCAGAACCTGCCAACTTTGTGATAATGTCATTTTCTGCCCGATTTCGTACACTGCGAGAGAAACACACATCAAGGGTGCGTCGAGAATAATTGAAGAGGTAAAACGTAACAAACAAAAAAAAATCACACTGCAGTTCATCATATATAATATTATAGCTTATGTGGTTATTTAAGGATTTGGTAACGTATTCAGTCACCTGGACAACGTAGCTGTTAATTAACCACTTAAAGTCAGTGCAACATAATCATCTTATAATTAAGTATTTGGTTCAGTACTGAACTATTGTATGTGTTGGAGTCTTCATCAGTGCACACTGTACCTGGCTAGATCGACGTAATTCTCCCTGCAGTATCTCTGAGCTTGAATCCAATTCAAAGGTGTTTTGACTTTTACAAAGGATGATTTGCCATTTACTGAACCTGGAAATATATTGAGAGAATTTATTAACAATGTGCTATGCAGAAGATCTATTTAGCCCTTTGTTAATTCTTACACTATAAGAAAACTCACCATTGTAGCACACAGAGTAGAAGGGGTAGTAGCAATCAACGTCAAACCACGTTCCAATGTATTCATAGAAGTGGTAATAGTGATAGTAATAGCTTTGAAGCAGCACACAGTTCTTTTGTCCATAAGGATTGTAGGGATATCCAGGTGCCCAGTTTCTAAACTCTGTCTCTCCTTCACCATAGATGCTGCTGTTACTCAGGGACCATCTCCAGTTGGCACTGTAGAGGCCTATCCAAGCCTTGCCTGTTCAAACAGATGTTCATTATATAACAGCTGGATTTGGATTTTGCTGAATTGAACTAAAATGTAGATGAATAAACTGAGCAAAACCTTAAATTACGTGTCTCCTCTATTTTTCATTGAGGGCCTTTCACATTCCACATGGTCATACTTTATAATTTTATCTAATCATAGTAAGTGTAGTGGGACAACGGTGTGGATTTGTGCATTTTATATTGAATAAATTTGGAGCTACTCCAAATTCCTCTCTCCTCCCCCAGAGAAGAGCAGGGGTGTTAAAGATCAACTTCAACAGACTGCAGGGGAGACCCCAACGGGAAAGGGGGTCAAAGTTGCTTTCTTTAAGTGCTATGCCTGGGCAGTTGATCGTAAAACTGGCACCTTTTTGATCTACGAAGCTGATAACGCGGGGCCTGACTGTTAAACTGACAAAGGGACACGAACCAGCGATTAGCATTTCCCTGAACAGCCTATCAAAACTGCCCCCCCCCCCCACACACACATGTAACCATGGCAACTAAACTGGGCCTGTGTTTCATTACTCCATCAAAGGGATACTCCCTGTCTCACTCACTTGTGACATAACCCAGGAAGCCGAACTTTAAATAACCAAAGACTGGAGTCTCCAAAGACTCAAAGCATTTAATTAAGTTTAATTAAATCTTTAGTTACTTGATTACGTTTGCCTCTAGTTGAGTAGTTATGTTAACATGTTGTTGCTATCTGTTGTTGATATTAGTGCTGAAAAGAATCTAAATAAGTTACTTTTGCAGTGTTTTTATTTTCAGCAAGACACTCCTTCATCTAATGTAATCAATGCTTGTTCATAATACTTTCCTACAAAATTCCTTTAGAAATGATGATAAAGGAATGTTTTATTATACTCTTAATCGCCAGCTTGAATTTAAGGATGAATCAACAATAATTCCCCGGTTCCTAAGGAGAGATGATCTTGGATTAATCTAAGCTTTCCTCATGTAACCTGAGCTCCCCCAAGTGGACGAAATAAGTATTACATACCCTTGTTGGAAATGCCGTTAAATGTATAAATATCCTGACCAATAATGTGACAATTGTTTCCTGTTACCAAATGCTTAGAACAGTACAACCGTTTGACCATTGAGGTTCGATTGTGGAAAATATTTGATTATAATACGTGCAAATAGATTTCTTTCCTTTTAGACATTAAGTTTAGAAAGGCAGTCCCTCAGGAAAACTGAAACGCCCTCTGGGGAACCACGCCCCAGGCAACAAAAGAGCGACACGCGACGTCGTTCGCGTTCTTCTCGGACGCTTCAGCACGCGTCCGGCGTGCCTCTCCAGGCAACGCCCTAAGAGTCGACCAGCAACAGGCCTTCGTTCGCTTGAAACTACACACGCGAAGTGCCGCGACATCGATCTGCCCCTCAGTTTGTTTTATTTTCTTTCTTTCTTTTGTTTTGTTAAAGTTATCAATCCGTTAAGTTACACAGGACTAATTCAGAAACGACCAAGTTCCATTTTAAAGCTTGTTCGTCGAGCCAACTTCACAGAGGTGAGACCAAGCCACGTGGTTTCGCCAGCGGCAACGAAGGAAACCTGAAAACAGCCGAATTGCCAGACGGAGGACGCGTTTTTTTCAGTCAGACACAGAGAACCCCAGAGAATCCCTAGCAAAAAGCTAGGATCGGGCAGCTAGCGTGGGACAGACCAAAGCAGGCCGTCGACAAGCTGTAAGACCCAACAAACATTCTGTGGTTAGATATGTCCCGTAAATATTTCCTTTTAACTCCTAAACTCATAGCTTACTTTCATTAGTTCTCCTATGCCGTATGAGTCAAATGCTTCCCACAATCAAACCTCCATTTCTCATTGTTCAGCAATTGTTTATTTTCCCTGTATTTAACCACCCTTTTATATCGCGTTAGTTAGAGAATAAATTCACTGTAATATAATCAAGAACTGTGTGTGTTGCCTATTTCCACATCCCTGCCAAGAGAATTGACCCTTTAGATATGAGACTGACTGATTGATTTAAGATAATTGAGCGATTATTAACTAACTGATCACTAGTAATAATTGTATAATTATTAAAAGCTACCTAGAGGTCCAGAGACTGATTTTAATTGGATATTAATTCTAATAAATTTATTAAAATTCATAACTAATCTAGCCATGCTACATAAGCTTATCAAAAACTTAATTGTTTTCTGGCGGTTATGTACATATATAATTCAGTGTATATACACTCACCTAAAGGATTATTAGGAACACCATACTAATACTGTGTTTGACCCCCTTTCGCCTTCAGAACTGCCTTAATTCTACATGGCATTGATTCAACAAGGTGCTGAAAGCATTCTTTAGAAATGTTGGCCCATATTGATAAGATAGCATCTTGCAGTTGATGGAGATTTGTGGGATGCACATCCAGGGCACGAAGCTCCCGTTCCACCACATCCCAAAGATGCTCTATTGGGTTGAGATCTGGTGACTGTGGGGGCCATTTTAGTACAGTAAACTCATTGTCATGTTCAAGAAACCAATTTGAAATGATTCGAGCTTCGTGACATGGTGCATTATCCTGCTGGAAGTAGCCATCAGAGGATGGGTACATGGTGGCCATAAAGGGATGGACATGGTCAGAAACAATGCTCAGGAAGGCTGTGGCATTTAAACGATGCCCAATTGGCACTAAGGGGCCAAAAGTGTGGCAAGCAAACATCCCCCACACCATTACAACACCACCAGCAGCCTGCACAGTGGTAACAAGGCATGATGGATCCATGTTCTCATTCTGTTTACGCCAAATTCTGACTCCATCTGAATGTCTCAACAGAAATCGAGACTCATCAGACCAGGCAACATTTTTCCAGTCTTCAACTGTCCAGTTTTGGTGAGCTCTTGCAAATTGTAGCCTCTTTTTCCTATTCGTAGTGGAGATGAGTGGTACCCGGTGGGGTCTTCTGCTGTTGTAGCCCATCCGACTCAAGGTTGTGCGTGTTGTGGCTTCACAAATGCTTTGCTGCATACCTCGGTGGTTATTTCAGTCAAAGTTGCTCTTCTATCAGCTTGAATCAGTCGGCCCATTCTCCTCTGACCTCTAGCATCAACAAGGTATTTTCACCCACAGGACTGCAGCATACAGGATGTTTTTCCCTTTTCACACCATTCTTTGTAAACCCTAGAAATGGTTGTGCGTGAAAATCCAAGTAACTAAGCAGATTGCGAAATACTCAGACCGGCCCGTCTGGCACCAACAACCATGCCACGCTCAAAATTGCTTAAATCACCTTTCTTTCCCATTCTGACATTCAGTTTGGAGTTCAGGAGATTGTCTTGACCAGGACCACACCCCTAAATGCATTGAAGCAACTGCCATGTGATTGGTTGATTAGATAATTGCATTAATGAGAAATCGAACAGGTGTTCCTAATAATCCTTTAGGTGAGTGTACACTATGTTAATGTTATGCACAGTGTGTGATTCCAATTTTATAACTTGCCTGTGCAGTAGTAGAGTACAGAAGTGACGTCAGTATAGGTTTCTATGGTAGCCAGGTCAGTGTAGATCCGTCTGCAGAAGCTCTGAGCTGCAGTCCAGTTCAGTGGCGTACTCTCAAAGTAGTATTGACGATTTCCTAAAACAAAGCATATTTATTTGAGTCCAGCTGTACTGTGGGGTTTTACAATACAATTCACTCGTTGGTGAGATTTTTGTGTGCTAGCAGCAGTCACTGTATCCTGACTACAGAGCCTGGAAACAATGGATGCTTCACCAAACTTAACTAAACAGCCCTGCTGGATTTAATGTTTAGTTTAGTAATCAGCTTGAGTCAGATCAGGTTTCACCCTGCGTCAGTAAATTGGTGTTCACTGTTTACCACTGACAATAAAAAATGAACCAGTTCACTTACAAATGTGTTTTTAGGATTTTCTGTATTGTCTCAGTTTATCAGAGAAACACTTACTATATATGCAGTACTGAGTCAGAAATGTTTTAGGAAGATGTCTGATTACATGGAAAGAAGAATATTCTAAGATGTATTGATAATTTGCTTATATCTCTTTAAAATCAAACAGACAAACTTTTCATCATATATCATAGCTGGAAAGAAAATGAAGCATACATTTTGAATTTATACAAAAAAGAAAATAAGTAAAAATAATAACAAGGGCTGACAAGGTAATGTTATGTTAACATTGTCGTTTTAGAAAAAAAACACGAAAAGAAAACATGAAGTTAATTACATGAAGAAGGAATAAGAAAAATGTTTAAATGTAACAAGGTTAAACTACTACTGCTGGAAACTGTTCAGTTGCTTCCAAAGTTGCAAAAAATACATATTAATGAAGTCAAACATCTTACCAGTAACTGCAGTAATGCTCACTCCACTGCTTCTGACATTCTCAAACACAGAGAAGAGAGTGAATGTGTATGTAGTTTCAGGAGTGAGAGATGAGACTGTGTGAGTTACTGGTCCATCTCCATCTGGTGCAGTGATGTTGATCTCTGCACCATTAAACTGGAGAATGAAGCTGACGCTGTTGTTCACTTTATTCCACTGCAGAGTGATACTGGTGACATCTTGTCTTGTTGGTCTGAAGTTTTCTGCGTTTGGAGGAGCTGAGAGAGACAAATAGAGCATTTAAACATGTATTAACAAATAACAGTCAGTAAAAGTAACAGTGTTCTCACTGTCAGTTAAAGATGGTTCATTTTGTTTCCTCACATAAATACAAACTAAAGCTGTCTGTCAGGAACAGAGCGAGTGAAACAATTCTTTGTATTACTGAGTATGAATGTTTTTTTTCTGGATCCAGATGTCACATTCTGTAGTCATATCCATCATACTTTAAATGACAACAGAGATGTACTCCACTATAAATGAATAATTACAATGCACCAAAAGTTTCAAAAGAAATTATTCTTAATGTAAAAAATTATTTTACAGTGTTGGCCAAAACAATGCTGAGTTAAATTAACATGCAATAAAGTGCATGTTGTTAAGTAGCACATTCCTTTAATGAATATTATACCCAGTAGAAACGTCTTAGTTTTACACTGGTGCTCTGAAAAGTAGATGATGGCTCGCTAAGCAGATACAGAGCATAGAAATAAAGTGACATATATTACCGGTAACTGCAGTAATGTTTACTCCACTGCTTCTGACGTTCTCAAACACAGAGAAGAGAGTGAATGTGTATTCAGTTGCAGCAGTGAGAGATGAGACTGTGTGAGTTACTGGTCCATCTCCATCTGGTGCAGTGATGTAGATCTCTGCACCATTAAACTGGAGAATAAAGCTGAAGTTGTTGTTCACTTTATTCCACTGCAGAGTGATACTGGTCTCATTTAGTCCTATTGATCTAAAGTCTTCTGTTTTTGGAGGAGCTGAAAGAAGAAGAGAAGTGACTGAATTTATCAACCAAAACTTTACCTGAATATTTATTCATGCTCCTGTTAAGGTTGATCCACTAAGACTTTTGTTAAGAAAACCTAATGGTGGCTATGAGAGAAACAATTATTTAAGGTAAGAATGTTGTGTCACATCTTACACCTAACCACATCTCAGCGTTCATTTCATAGGACATGTACCATCCATCCATCATCAACCACTTATCCTGCGTACAGGGTCGCAGGGGCCAATCCCAGCTGACATCGGGCGCAAGGCAGGGTACACCCTGGACACCTAAGGACAATTTAGGGTAACCAATCAACCGAGCCTGCGGTGGGAAGAAGCCAGAACACCCAGAGAGAACATGCAAACTCCACACAGAAAGGCCGGGGCAAAAAAAGCACTTTAAGTTGGATCACTATGGGGAAATAAAGGAGTTTAATATGTGGACCAATACAGTACATGATTTCAAGTAGGAGGACATTAGAAAAATACATTTAGTTTTACACAGTCACACTAACAAGATTTTAAAATCATCAGATTTTTTGATCCAACACACAATGTAATTTGGTGCATGTTGACACAATCACTGACATAATTCCCAGTCATGATCCACCACCACCACTTGTATATCAGTTAATTGATATACTCTTGTACAGTAGGTTCAATCGACTGTATGTTCTCAATTTAAACAGTATTATACTGATGGGACACATTTCAGTAAGCTCTAGCTATAAGCTATTGATTTTAATGTGTATGGTATTTGTTGTATTTCTTGTTGTTCTTCAAGCAGATTTTTGTACTGAGAGTAATGAGAGTATTCATTTTATTAGGGTTCATACCGTTTAGTAGTTAGTTGTTTTTATTATTTGTTGTCTGCAGTACCGGCTCAAATTCCCGTGAGCTGGAATGAACTACAAACATGAAATTTGGGGGAATAACTGGAAATGGCGTGCTTCAGCTTCCATAGAAAAATTAACTCAATCAGCCACATGGTGGTGCTGTAAATAAGGCTTAAAAATGCAAACTTTGAAAGGCTACGCCCCTCACGCCGTAAGTCCGATTGACTTGAAATTTCTCACACAGGTGCAGCTCAATGTGCTCTGCAAAACACATTTTTGACATCTCCTCCTTGAACCATGTGTGTGAAATTATTTTGATGGCGATATTTCGAAAAAAGGTATGAACCCGCAAATCGCCGCTTGCGGCTATATTTTGACTTGAATTTTGTTTGCCTGTTTCATTTTTTGGTTGTCATTTTTATAGATTTCAAACATTAATCTTACAGAAATGAAAGCCATATCTTTATGAATGTAACTTTTAAATACTGTGCTGCTTACAAAATGATGAATGAAGTTTATCTGCTTTATAGAACTTTCTGATCAGTATTTGGCCTGACATGCAGAAGAACAGCAAAAATAGAGAACATTCTTGTTTCTGCTTTAATAGACATGTACACAAATTGAAATTCAGTGTGAATCTGATCTTAAAGGTACGAATTGCTATCATATAATGTAAACTGCCTTAATGCAACAATGAATCTCTATACAGTGTGTGAGTAGAAATAAGATACATTACTTGTTGAGTAACAGATGAACGGGAAAGTGAGGGAGCAGCTGTCTTCTGACCAGCGTCCTATGTCACTGAACACTGTGGTGACACACTGCCCTGTACAGTCTGGTTGCCCACCGTCCCAGTTTTGAAATAGAGAGGTGCTCCCATCAGACCATACTTGTTCCCAGTGCAGACCGATCCACACAAAGTCACTAGCTGCCAGCTTTGTGATGACGTCATTTTCTGCCTGATTTTGTATACTGCAAGAGAAACAGTAGCATATACACATCAAGGGTGAGTTGAGTAGAACTGAAGAGGTAAAACATTACAGACAAAAGAAAATTAGACACTGCATTGCATTGTTAGTGATTGGTGGGAAATATAACATTGTAGTTTATGTGATTATTTAAGGATTTGGTAAAGTGTTCAGCCACCTGGACAACATAGCTGTTAATTAATATCTCAAAATCAGTGCAACATAATCATCTTACAATTGACCCTTCGCTAAGCCACGGCCCAAATACGCAGCTAACCAATTACAGTGCAGTACAGGACTCGCTCTAACTGAGGTCACGCTCCATTGACTCTACTGCAAAACGAGTCGTTTTCCAGCTTTTATTTGCTGTATTTTTACAAGATATGGTGAAACGCTGTTCCTGGGGAACTTGTAATAATTACAGTTACAAGAGGTTCAATTTATTCCCCTTTCAAACCCTAAAACAAATCCAGATAAATGTAGGCTATGGATTGTTCCTAATGTAATGTTAGTTAGCTAACGCTGCCTAACTTACTACTAAATGTAACATTATATAGCCCTGCTGTTTTGCTTTTTAATGATTATAATAGTGAATAGAGACCTACCCAGCTGTACAGGAACAATGTTAATCCTTAGTCAGGTAAAACGGTGGTTCACTTTTACTCTGTGATCGGTAAGGATAAAGCTTCTGTCTTTATTTTTTTTAATGTCAGTTTGGCATAAAATGTAGTTGAAAGGCTGATACTCAACATTAAGGCCCCCACATTACCTGAGTCCCACACCGCAAAAGGTGGAGCACTACATGACCAGTCCCTATAATACAAGATAGCAAGGGTGTAGGAGCGACTTTGAACATGGGGGGATGCTGAAATCAGTGTTTCCCCTATATTCATTCAGAAGCAGTGGTGTGGGCGGTGCATTCTGACATCAGTGCACTAATGTTTTCACCTTTTCACTTGCACTGTGTGCTGCTCGCACTCTAAATAAGCACTTAACGCAACGCTAAACTTTTGGCTAGCTTCCTTTCCTCGTTCTTCAAAGAACATCCACATAACAGGTGCTCTTAAGAGCACGTAACTCCGGTATAAAATCAAGGTGTGTTAGCTTCTCAAGACCAAGAAACGTCTGTCTGTTTTTTCCCAAACTGCTGGAAAAGTGAAGCCGGTTAGCACTAGCAAACGTTTCCCCTCCCATTCAGACAGCTGAGCAGGAATGTCTTTTGGCTGCTATGTAACGTAACATTAACGTTAGCTACATTTAAAGGGAGAAGGCTAACTAGTAGCTGCATTTCATTACTGCCTAGCTTACTTGTCCAGTATTGAGAACATTAAGTATAAGCTTGAACTAAACTGGTGTAGCCTACAGCTCTGTCATGCACACAGACTGTAACTTACATCCAAAAGCTATAAAATGAGACGCTAAAGGCAACATGAAAAATCCTGTTATTCAGAGATCATATTAACAGGGCTTCCCTGCCTATATAAGGCTTAGAAGGTAAGACCAAAGAGGCTTGGGTGCTGTGCCATGAATGTAAAATCACTGTGAAGAGAGCACAACAACTAAAACTAAATTTTACACCTTAGCTTTTTCTTTGTTGTTTATTTATAGTCTGCTCTAGCTTTTCCAACTAGTTGGTCACAGATTTGTAAAAACAATGGTCCCAAATGACACCACAGCTCGGATTCTAACAGAAAAATGGTTTTATGTGTATGGAGTACCCAAACGTATACACAGCGACCAAGGAAGTTGTGCAAGATCTATGGCATTGAAAAGAGCCGCACTACACCATACCACCCTGAGGGTAATGGGCAGTGTGAGAGATTCAATCGCACCTTGCATGACCTGCTTCGTAGCCTTCCACCTGACAAGAAAAAGAAGTGGCCGCAGTATCTGCCTCAGATTCTTTTCGCATACAATACGACAGAACAGACTTCTACTAAATATTCTCCATATGAGCTAATGTTTGGACAAAAAGCTAAGCTACCTGTTGATTTTTTGCTGGGTGCTGCAGACAACAACTTGGCCCCAGGCACCACCCAGGACTGGGTAGTAGAGCATCAAAAAAGGCTAAAGACTGTGTTCCAACATACCAACGAACAACTAAGAGTGGCAGCTGAACTTAGGAATAGGCAATTGATCCCAAATGCAATAGAGATATTGATACCAGGAACGCTTGTTTTACGGAGGAACTATCCACTTGGACGCAACAAAATACAGGATCACTGGGACCCGACAATCTATGAGGTGGTCCACTGTTTTGATGACAAAGGAAGGGTTTACAAGATCCGACCAAAGAATGAACCGGGGCTAGACAAAATATCAACAGGACAGAGCTAAAACTTGTGCCTTCTACTGCCATCGTTGATACCCCTGACCTCCTTCCATCTGAGTCACACAGTTTGCCCGAAAGAGAGGAAAATGATTTCGATATCACTAAAGATGAAAGTGAAATGGGTAATCTCATAATGGTTCAGATCCAGCCCCCAAACTCTGGAAACTTGGACTTGGCAGCTTCTCATAATTCGCTACCCAAAGATCCACCAGTTACAGTACAACCAGAGCCCCAACGAGACGGCTTAGAAGATCCATTACAGGAGGAGTCTTCTAGTAGTTCCCCTATTCTTGTGAGACGTCCCCAGAGAACAACAGCAGGCCGCCACACAAACCCCTTTAATCTGCCACAGTCCGCATGCAGACTTGTTGAAAATAACAGAAGGGGCAGTGACAATAACATTCCCCAAGCCGTTAGTCAATCAGTGTATGCAGTGTTGAGCCCATGGGTTTAAAACACAATTTTATTTTTTTGTCACGGGGACGGTGACCTTTTAAAGTAGGGGTAGATGTGATAGGGAAGGCAACAGGGCTTTAGCACTAGGACCCAGGTCAAGGGGCAGAGTCTATAAATAGGGGAGGGAAGATCACCTGGTCCTTTCTTTCTGCAGTCACACACCTGAGGGAGCAGCTGAGGCCAGCCTTTGTTTGGTTCTTGATTGGGTAGGCTCTATTTTTAAATAGGTTTTACTTTAAAAAAATAATGTGTAAAAATCTAAGGCTAATAATGCATGTCCAGAACTAGATCTTAGAATAATTTGTAGTTGATTTTATTAAAGACAAGTTGAAGAATTGTTAAAAACCTGTTATTTATTAGACTTCGTGGTGGTGAGGGTCCAAAGCTTGGAGTGATTGTCTAAACACATCAGCTAAAGCACAGGTATGTGTAAGATGGTTTTAAACAAGATTTTAGCCTTTAATTATATGAATGTAACAGGAATATTTGAAAATAAATTGGAGTTATCTTTGATCAGGACATGTCGTTTAAGTATGTTTACGTAATATTTCAAAAATCAGGAACATCCTGTCTAAAAATGAAAAATGAAAAACTAGTCCATGCATTTGTTACTTCTAGGCTGGATTACTGCAATTCCTTATTATCAGGCTGCTCGAAAAAGTCTGTTAAGACTCTTCAGCTGATCCAGAATGCTGCAGCACGTGTTCTGACAGGAACCAGGAAAAGAGATCACATTTCTCCTGTTTTAGCTTCTTTGCATTGGCTTCCAGTAAAATCCAGAATCAAAATTTAAAATCATTCTTCTTACCTACAAAGCTCTCAATGGTCAGGCACTATCTTATCTTAATGAGCTCATAGTACCTTACTACCCCACCAGAGCACTGCGCTCCCAGAATGCAGGGTTACTTGTGGTTCCTAGAGTCTCCAAAAGTAGACTAGGAGCCAGAGCGTTCAGCTATCAAGCTCCTCTCCTGTGGAACCAGGTTCCAGTTTGGGTTCAGGAGGCAGACACCATCTCCACATTTAAGAGTAGGCTTAAGACTTTCCTCTTTGATAAAACTTACAGTTAGGGCTTCTTGTACTCATAGAATCCAGGTTACAGTACGTAACCCCGGTTTCATTAATTTGACCTAATCTTAAACATGACTCGGGAGGAACGGGTAGTCTGAGGTAGTAATTTGTTCATTGTCACGCATGCGTAAATAGTCTTGGACTACGTTCACTCATCACACGGCAGCTGCATGGGATCCATCAGCACAGGAAACGGATTAGTTCACGACTCAACTGTGGGTCTCTAGGTTTGAGTCGTTCATTTGTCACGTGACAGCTTGGCTACTGTGGAGCAGAAATGAACTATTCGTTTACCACTCACATGGGTCCTCGGAGTCTTTCGTTCATTCGGCACAAGATAACACAGCCACATAGCAATGTTAACGTTAGCCCTGTGGTAACATTAGCTAACAGCTGATCCGGGTCCGCCAGAGAGCGCAACGTAACTTTTCGGGTTTTTTCCCAACAGAGTCGTGCTGTTGTTTCATAGCTCTTGACTGGTGAAGAATCTGGGAGTGTTTGAGAGGGATGTGCTCATGTTTGTTTCTCTGTCTGCAGAATCCAGACAATGTGGCCCATTCTGCATCCAGACCTGTCAAACTGCTGCTGTGTGTTAATATTTCTTTGTTCTTCTCTCTGTGTTTATTCATATAGTGTGTCAAACTTTAATAATTCAATATATTCCCCGCAAATCTGATGTTAATATATAATTTTACTCATGGATAGGGACACTAGGCTACTGTATGAATAAGCACTTTAGACTATAATGATAACCAGAATGAACATTCACTAAAGTAAATGTGTGTGAGAGCTGTTAGCTGTGACTGCTACCAATGCTGCTGCAAAGTACTGCTCCATCAGCAATTTAAAATCCGTTAGCGCTACCTACAGGTAAAAGAATCACATGCCCAGACAGTAGTGTTGCTCTAAGTGTCACGCACTTTGGACGCTGCACAAAATACTTCAAAGTCACTTCCTGTGTCCTCTATGTGGTGCAAAGGAGCACCCAGTAATGATACATTATGTCCCAGTGCATCATGTTGAGAAAATTTATTTTAATCGCATAATGGGTGTCACACAAGGCTTACTTCCTGTTTCCAGAAGGTGGCGCTATGACTATAACTGAATTTTGGCATGTAGATGTGTTGGGGGCAGGACCATTATCA